GGACAATAGCACGTCAATTGTTTCCACATGACGCTCTTCACCTTCGTCTCGTGTCTTTGGAGGCCAGTATATTGTTCGCCATCCGGGATAATGACCATGGACTAGCTTTGTTCCTGCCCACACGTCCCTCCAAGCCCGGAAGCTGCCGGCTGGGCGATTGTCCTCCCGGGCGGGACGGGACCGGGAAGAAGAGAGCGCAGCATCGCGCCCTGGAGCCGAGGCTTCCCTCTCCTGGGTGAGGGGGCGCAGGCTGGCCGCCGCGGCACAGAGTCTCCCTTTGAAGGATCCGGGAGCCCTCCGGCCCGGCGTTTTCCAGAGTCCGGCCCTCCGCCGGAGATTAAACTTGGCCCCGGTCTCCAAAATTCTTCGGTTCTGGAAACCCGGGTGCGCTCGAGGCTTTAAGAGGTCGTGTGGACTTTGGCACCAGAGTCCGCGAAGCTGCGTTCAAGTCCTGCCTTAGCTGCGTGTCCTTGGCCTCCTCCCGGAGGGCCTGTTGCCTGCCTTCCCAACTGCGGGGAAAGAGCTCAGTGCGTGCCAAGCGCGCCGCACGGGCCGGGCAAGGGAGTGCTAGTTAGTTTGTGGATTGCCTTTTTCCTGCCCGGGGCACTGGGTAGGGAAGAAAAGCTGCAGAAAGGAAGGAGAAAAGGAGGGGCGTGGCAGGGCGGAACCGGGATCCCCGGAGTGCCCGCACTCCAGGACTCAGGGGGCTGGAGCCGCTACGCCCTGCTCCTCCAGTGGGCGCTGCGCGCTGTCCTGGGCTTAGGGGGCGAGACGCGCCTGCCGCAGCGGACAAGCCTGTCCTCCCCGAGCCTTAGTGGAGGGAAAGCGCGGCCCGGTCCAGGCCCGTGAGTGTGAACCCTGTTTGCACCTGGCACCTGAACAACCGCAACTCCCCCTTATGGAACCTCTCCACGCATTCATTCAACCACCACAGATCCTGAGCGGGTGCTTGTGTCCCAGCACGGAGCTCGGTCGCCGGGGGTGGGGGTGGGGGGTGGGGGGTGGGGGAGTGCCGCTGTGCGCGGAGGGCCCTCTGGAGCTAGCGCCAGGAGCCAAGTCCTTAGGGTGACCCGTCACCCTGAAGGCTCCCCCAGGAGGCATTTCTTTCCCCTGTTGTGCAGAGGAGGAAAGCGGGACCTAGAGGGTGGATGAGGGTGAGGACACAGGTGCCGCTGCTTCTGTGGGAACGGAAGGGGAGGAGGCTGCAGGGAGCCTCACTGTGGGTCGCGCAGTTCAACCTCACTATTTAACACTGGTTAAAAGTCTGCGTTGCTGGAGACATTTTTAAAGCACCGTAAACACAGTTTTCAATTCCATTTCAGTGGGATGCAACGAGTCTCCAGTGGCCAAAGGCAGCGTAAGCAGAGAGGCTAAGATGCAGAGATGGCAGCTCTGCGGGACCAGGCAAGTTACTAGAGTGTGTGAAAGTCTACAGAAGCCAGAGCCTCCTTGGGTGGGGCCTCCAGGCCGGCATGGGCCCTTCAGGGTGTGTTCTGAAGCTGCGTGTGTCCAGGGTGCCAGATGTGAGAGTGGTGGGAGGACAGAGAACCAAGCAAGCAAAGGAAGCCATCTTGGGTCCTCTTGGGGCTTCCCCAGCCCTGCTCTCCCGCCTCAGTTTCCCCTGCTGCTCCTGCACATCTTCCCTGGGAAAGCTTCAATGGCTGCCCATAAACACTGAGCTATAAACAAGACATCGATCCCCTGGCTCTGCAGCGTAAAATATTAACGATGCCTAAGTAGATAGCAGGGCCAAGAGCAGAACGTCCGCTCAGCATCGGCAGCCGGGCTGCGGGCCTAATGGATGGAAGCTGACTCCCTGCTCGCTCACTAGCTTGGGGCCTGCCAGCTCTGGGGCCAGCCCAGGTCCACTGGGGCTGGACTGGTGGCCCTGTCACACTGGCTTCTTCCCTAGATCTGGAGAGAGAGGCAGACACAGACAAGCCCCCAAGGCCCATAGGTGCACCCCACACTCATGAAGTGCCCAGCCAGGGCTTCCCCAGCCACCTCTAGCTCCCCCTACCAGGGACCATTTGCCCTGGACTGCATTCATTCCCTCCCAAATGCCCCAGAGCCTCGGTGACAATGCTTCCTGGTCCTGTTCCTTGCCTTTGGGGAAGGAGTTGTCCTAGGGGAGGGGCACAGAAAAAATCCCTGCGGGTCAGGGTGCTGAGGGCTGCCACAGAGGTAGGGAAAGATGAAGGCCCCTGAGTAAGGAAGAGCTCACTCTTCCTCAGCTGAGTGGGAAAGCTGGGGCGAGCCGCACTGGAAGATCTCAGGATGTCTGGGGAGCCCAGAGAGGCCTGGTGTCTTGATCTAACTTAGAATGTTCTTAGAGACCCAATGGCTTTGGGGCAGGGTAGGGCACACTCCACACCTGAGCTCATGGTCTTCCTTTTTCTGGCACACTGATGATGCCACTCCAGTTCTGTCTCCAGGAAACCACCCCAGATTACATCAGCCCTGCATTAACCCCCTTCTCCTCAGAGCCCCCATGGCCTCTGCTGCCTGGCCACGCCATTCTGCATTGAGTTTCGGCTGTCTACCCTGACGTCTTCCATGTCACCCACACTCCTCATGTCTAACCACAGCTGTACGTCAACTCCTGGGGAGTGGGACCCATCCGTTTGACTAACATTCATTGCATGCCCTTACCCTACTGGTCCTGACCACCCAGATCCCGAGGAGTCTTTTACTCTTAAGGGAGGGACTAGACCAGGCAGATATTGTTCCAGAAACACATTCCCTGCAAACAGCTCAGTAAGTTGTTCCTGGAGCAAAGGCTTCCCTTGGTTCTCGTGCATTCTACTGGGCAGAACAGCCATTATTCAATTTATTCATCTTTCTTATCTATAAATATAAAATGCTAATATGCTAAGCGTCCGTCTGGGTAATGACGTCACATAGCAATGCCTGGCTTCCTCTTCCTAGCGATGACTAGCCTCCTTGCAGTTTCTTCAGCCCAGGAACATGACTTGCTTTATAGCCAGGTGCAAACATTTCACACTGTAACCAAATGTCTGTGAAGCGTTTTCCCGTGCCTCATCTCATTTGATCCTCACAGAAGTCCTGGAGTAGGTAGATAGGAGACCTGGCGGAATCCTATTTTCTTTTTATTAGCTGGGAAATGGAGATTTAGAAAGCTTAGAAACTTGACCAGACTGAAAAGAAGTAAGAAATGGTGGACTTTGAAAATGACTTCAGGTTTTCTCACTGCACAGAATATAGTCAAACACTGCTGCAGTTAAATATTTTACCCTTTGTTCTCCCTGCATGATCTACAATAATAATCGGCTTCATGTTGATATTTACTGCTGTGTTGCTGACAATTACCTGAAAGAGAAGTTGGGGTGCTTCACTGGGCTGGAAAAAGTTTAGCTACATCAGAAAGCAGGTCTAATTAAGCAAGTTTATTCTATATCTATAAAAGGCTAAGTTGACTCTCGCATGTGCAATACATATAAAGCTCTCGCTGGCGCCAATCACACGCCTGTGTTTTGATCTGTCATTGTCGATTGTGAATTCAGTTGACACTTCTATTAGAGAGAAAGGCTGAATAGCAATACTAAAATATTCTAATTAATTTCCTTTCAATATGCATGAATTTGTGCACCGGGCCACTAGTATTTCATAAGAACCAGACAAGAATGCCACAAAAACATACCTCCTGGACTCCTACCCACGGATTTCCCTGGGCTGCTCAAATGCAGGGCATCTAAAGGTGAACTCTCACTTTTCACCCCAAATCAACCCTCCCAAAACCTGCCCCTCCCTGAAGCCCCCTGTCTCAGCTGCTCGGGCCAAATCCTGGCTCTTTGCCTACAATCCCCCTTCCCCACTCCTGCCCAGTCTGTCACCAAGCTCTGGCTCTGTGCTTCTTTCTCATCCATCTCTGCTCCACTGCCACTAGCCCGGCTGTGACATTGAATGACTCTCCCCACCTCTACTCTGCCCGCCTCCCATCTTGTCCATTCAGCAGCCAGAGTGGTCATCTCAGGGTCATCAGACCCTGTCTATCCCTCCCTGTGTAAACATCCAGTGTCTCTCTGACTCAACACTGCCTGTGGCTGCCTGCTCAGCCTGCCTTTTCCCGATTTGGAACAGCACCTCAATTTCCTTTTAGAACACCCTGCCAACCTCAGGCCAGTGATCTTGGGCCTTTGGGGATCTCACTGGCCGCTCAGCATCAATTCCTCTTTTCCTACTCCATTCCCCTTCTCCACTGCCATGGTGATTGGCTCAGGGCTGGGCACCAGATGGGAACTAAGACAATGAGAGACCTCCGTGAGACTGGCCCTGGGACAAGCAGGAGAGAGGCGATCTCTTTCATATGGTAGCTAAGTGGCCACCTGCCACCTTGTGACAGGGAGCCTGAGAATGTAGTCACCTCACTGGAAAGCAGAGCAAACAGTGGAGAGAGAGTGCTATGTGCCTGGATCCAGCTAAGCCTGATGACACATATAAACCTATATATTTTAGCCCTTTCCAGTGTGGCTCAGTGGATAGAGTGCCAGCTCATAGATGGAAGGGTTGTGTGTTTGATTCCTGGTCAAGGGCATGCACCTAGGTTGCAAGTTTGATCCCTAGCCCTGGTCAGGGTGCATGTAGTAGGCAACCAATCAGTGTGTCTCACTTACCTCTCTCTCTCTCCCTCTCTCTCTCTTTCTCTCTCTCTCTCTC